GGTTTATAATCATGACCAACAGACCAGCATCAAAGAGCTCGAAGTTAGTGGTCCATACAAGAATATAACGGGACAAGAGAGCTGGATGGCTCCACTAAAACTGCTAAAGATAGCTTATTAGCTGCTGGACACTGTAAATGTATAAACACGTGGTCAATCGCCATAGCAACTATCTAATCTGTTTCCATGGAAATTCTAATTAGCATTCGCGAAAATTAGTCGTCCTACGGTATCTAACAGGCTAGGCAGTAAAGAATCAACCAAGCTTGACAAATGGACTAATCAGAGCATCCAAGCTTGACAAATGGACTAATCAGAGCATAAGCGTAGAGCGCCAGGTTTCACTTATTTTATTTAATAAACCAAGAGTTTAATAAGTGTTCCCGGGAGGTATCTAATAGATTTAGAAACCTGGTATTCTGCAATCTGATTGATCAGTTACAACTAACTAGGCATGATTATATTCTTGATTGTAATAGGTAGAAACTTTTGAGGGAGTTACTTTCATTATATTTGTGAAATTAAAATCTGCCAAAATGATACAAAATGGCAATTCGGGCTGATTGTTGTCTGAATTTTCCCCTCCTAGATTGCAACATTCCACATGCACCAGCTTCAGTCACATAATACTTTAACAAACCATTAATGCATGAACATAACAATTCCAAGTGAAAACAAAAGCAATTATTTTTAGCAACTTAATTATGTCATTGTACTACTAACGTTATATAGCAGATGTCATCCATGGCTTTGTTATTGATGTAACCTTTACACTGACTCTGAAGTACAGACTATCATTTTTAAGATACTGACAATTACTAGCAGCATCATACTGTAATTCAGAATGTGGTACGAATTGAGTTGTACCCCATCCTGATGAACCTTCTTCGGTTACTCTTCGTTTGCAATCACCATCTGTTGATTCATCAAATGATATGGTGTACTGCCAATGATTCTTATCCTCCAGTTGATTCAGTAGTTCTATAGTGACTTCTCCTTGAAATGGCCACTCCAATGTATCATCACATTTTCCTGCCATGAGACGTATGTAGCAAGAGACGTGTGTACCTTTACTATCATCATCGTCATTACCATTAGGATAGACATTTAATGACATCTTATATCCTCCTGGAGATGTATAGAAGCCTGGGCTGTACCAATCCTCATCTTTTTCTTTTTTCTCTGTATATTCATTTAGTTTAAAAACTTGATTTGTTAACTGTAGAGCATCAATCTTCTTCATTGCTATGTCAAGATGGTGTTTTATTGATTCTTCATTGTGCTTCTCTTTTTCTTCTCTCCTCATTTTTAGATTGCATCCAACAGTATTGTATTCACATGGTATGATAGCTTTAGGGCAGGTCTCATTGTGTGATTCTAGTGAATGTTGTGGTATCTTCTCATTGCAACCTTCATTACTGCACTGGATTAAGAGGTCAGGACACTCATCAAAATGACAGCTGCTTGTTATCAGTCGATATCGACCTTTTCGGTTGCAATACTGACAGTTAACTATTCGCTCAGGACAGTTGTCTGTCAGATGTGTCTTCAGTGTACTTCTCCTAATCTTTTCTCCACATCCATTAGTACAAGGCACCAGTTGATAGGTACAGCTGTTATTAAGGTGGGTATCAATATCCTTAATAGTCCCCATCCATTGGCACCCACTATCAGTGTTAGTGCAAGAAACCTTAAGTGACTTTATTCCTCGTTCTGCTCTTCCATCTTTAAAATACTTTCCTTCGAGTGAGCTACGACAAGTTGGGCAGATAAACCCTTGGCCCTTCTCTTTTAGTGTATCCAGACAGCTCTTACAGTATATATTGTAGCAGCAGCTAACTTGTTGAGGATCCCGTGCTACCAGTGTACAGATGTGGCATTGATACTCATCTGGAGGATCACCATCAACAAACTTAAAGTCATATCCACCTCCATAGTCATCACATGTAGCCATTGTTACCATGTGACATTTACTACCTTATAGTTTATTAACCATTACAGATCTATTAATAAATTTTTGTTTGGGACATATTCTGGTTTTATTTAGTGAATGTCTGTCAACATCTCATTCACTAAAAACTTAGTATTTTTTTCTTATTGTACAGTTATACCTGTACAGCTACCGATACCATCTGTTCTTGCATACAATGGTTTGGTATAGGTTCTAGTATCCCATGATTATTTCAATTACTACCACTGCCCACCATTGTCACCCTAATAATACTCATACAAGCTATAGTGCCAAATGAAATGCAGATGCATAGATACCGCATCATGTGGTAGCTATAGATTCTATGTATAAATGTATTTGGTATTTCATGCATTGCATGGCTATGCTTGTGATTGAGCTTTAAGACTTTGAGAGATGATTCTGTTCATTATCAATAAAGTCATAAAACATTAGTAAAGTAAGAGTTACGGTGTAGTGTATACATAATGCCAATTATAATTTTAATGAAGAT